GTACGGGTGCACATCGTCAAACCCACTCCTCCTTACCAAATGCGACGACAAGCCGTTGTCCACATCATCCTGGAACAGGGAATGGTACCTGAGAAAGCCGCAATTTTGTTCACAGCTGCCTTCCATGCAGGTACAAGGATGGGATTGCTGCAACAAGCTGAATCATCACCTGTTGACATATGCACCGATCAGGTCATCCAAGATCATGACTTACAGCCGCAGTGTGACTTTCGTCCATGCCATTTGTTCTCAGGTAGGTACCGGTTTCATCCTAGCAATCGTGAACGGGTCCCATCCGGCATTAGCGTTTTGCTAGATGTTGGCGACCACAGGCTGAACGCTCGAGCCCATTCCAGCACAGACATGCCCATGCAAGTGGACGTGCATGGTAATCCAAGCGATGATGCCTCAGATGCACGCAGTGACATGAGTGACACGAGCACGCTTATGCAACGTCCAAAGTTCAAAGCGTTTCCGAAGCCTGCTGCCAGAGCGTGTCCAGTCACGTATCGAGATTCTGCGCTGGCCACGTGGTTCACTATTTATCAGCCGCTTTCACAAGTGGGTGCCGACCAACACCAACCTGTGCAAGAAGCCCAAATACAAGTTTGTAACCTACAGGATTTTCACTCGGTGCTGCAATGGCAGGCAAACAGGGCCAGAGATGACTGCCTACAGCAGGCTGCCACTCGTGCAAAAATAGCCACATGGTATCTTGAGCCCAATGTGCTCCCACGCAGTGACCATCACCGTGAAGTGCTCTTGTCTGGGCACCCAAACCAATGGCCTAGTGATATCCTGCAACGGTGGGCGGATTTCCTACAGCCAAGCCAGCCGGTTAACCTTTATGTGGTGCAACCGGACCCACCTGGAGGACTGCCTGACATTGTCGCACATGTCCTTGTTGTACAGAACGCTCACTCCCAGCATGCTGCAGCGCTCGTCTCAGTGACGGAACTCATAGAGGATCCCTGGCCTCAAGGTTTGCACTATTCCTAAACAGTCAGGTCACCTGTGACGAACTCTTTGAACATGCTGGCATTCCTCATGCACAGGTTGCTGCCACACCAGGTATAGGCGCATACCATGGTACAACCAACATCCCCCAAGGCAGTTCGTACCCAGTGCATCATGGCTTTGCCTTTGAAGTCGTTACTGACTCACTCGACTTTGAGGGCGAAGAACAGGTCATGCTGCAAATGCCTCCCAGATTGCCAACTAGACGTGACCAAGATGAGGCACCAGAGGCCATGCCAACAACCGCAAATACAACTGAGTGCATGCAAGCAGCGGCTCATGCACTGCAGAAGATTTATGATACTATTGCCAACATGGTAGCAGTCCTCGAGCAAGGCTCTACTGACTGGTCAATACCCCCTGCTGTACGAGACAAAAATGACGCTCTGCGCCCAAAATGGCAACAGCCTGTCGACCACAACCTCGCCGACCAGGGCAGCCTAGTCCAACAGGAACATGCTGCACCCAATACGTTGCACAGATGGCAACACCTTGCCGCAATCAGACCTCAGGCGGCCAGACCCATGGCACCTATCATGACATGGTACGTTGACCATGAAAGATTCCCACAATGCTTTGCTCCAAGGGAGGTGCTTGTCCCAAGAAACCCGGTGGACTGGAAACAGGTCATCCTCAGCGCATGGACTGATGTTCACTTACCAACCCAAGCAGCTGATGTTGTGATTGTCCAACCCGACCCAGTCATGATGGAGGACCACATTGCTGCCCATGTCATGGTGCTTCAACAACAAGCCCAAGGCTTTACCACTGTGTTATTGACCACAATTGACAGTGCAGCGCCAGACATGAGAAGGAGACACGCCACTATGGTCCCAAATGTCATCAGTCGTGCACTGCTACTTGCCCTTGCGTTCCACCCACAAGAATGTGAACAAAGCTCCAACACTTGTGATGCCTGGGTAGGAGATGATGCACTTGAAGAACAGGAACACATCCAACTGTCAGGAGGTCGGTCATGCACTGCCGTCATTCACCGATGCCCAATGCCGACAGCCGAGCACCCCGACCCATGGGAAAGCACGGTCACTCGCCCATGCAAGTACAGAGTTCCAATCTGCCTTCAAGCTGCTCTCCCACACCAGTCGTGCCATGTACCGATCGACATCGATGAAACCAAGCCGCAAATACTATGGTTTGCCAACGAAGCTTGGAAGTTTGCACTGGAGAGGGAAGAGCCCCTGCCTCTCCTCCCGTTACCTGACGGCATGACCACCCCAGACCCAGCGTACTGGCCACTCCTGCAGCCGCTACCCACGTCAGCGATCGATGCACTTAGCTACACCCTTTACCTGGATGGTGCAGCCAACGGTCATGATGCAGGCTGGAGTGTCATCGTCGTGGCCTGCCATCCGGAAGGAGAATCATTCATAGGATGCCTCCTTGGCACCGTGCAGCTAGGATCGGACCACCCAAACTGGTTCGGTGCGGACACTGCCGACAACATCTCAGCGGAGTTGACTGCAATGGTCGCTGCTCAAAACTTGGCCATGAGGTGGAAGGGCAATCACAGCTTCTGTATACGCCCTGACTTATCCCTCAGTCGCACTGTAGCTACAGCAGCCACCACATGCAGGTCCAATCAGGCCCTGGCAAAGCTTTGTGGGGCTCTGGGACTATGGCTAGGAAACAGGGTCACCATACAAGAGGTCCGAGGCCACAAAGGCCATGCATGGAATGAACTAGCCGATGCAGTCGCCAAATGGGCCATGCAGCAACACTGCGACCCCCTTTTGCAACAGTTCACCCAGCTCCACGAGCTTGCCACCAACCCACACGATGTTGATTGGGTTTGGATGCAAACAACACATCCAGCCCTTTCTGCCTGTTTTCCCCCGCTCACCCAACAGCAGATCATGCAGTTTACCAAGCCGAGCCTCCAGATAGGTGTTGTCCCAACCGAACGCAAGCCAGTGGCACACCAGGATGCGGCCACTGCATGGCGCCTTACAGTCTGCACGGCAAATGTGCTTGCATCCGAAGTATGGGCACACCATACTGCAGGCACCAAACGCACCGGCCAAAGAACCGTACGTTTAGACCAACAATGGCACAATGCCCAAATTCATGCAATCGGTGTACAAGAAGCCCGCACTCCCCAAGGCCGCTTCCATGCACCACATTACCATATTTTCGCCTCAGGTGCCCACCACAAGAGAGCTCCACTCCTTGGCTGTGAATTGTGGATTCACAAGACCCTCCCAGTTGCCAAGGACTTGCATGGTAACCCAATCGTATTAGGCAAAGCCATCTTCATCACCCAACATGCCGATCCACGCCGGCTCTTTGTTGAAGCACGCCTGGGCCATACAGTATATGCGTTTGTGGTCCTCCATGCACCCAGCCTGGCACATGGGAGTCAAGGAGCTCAAGATCCTACTGAACTCGCCAAGCAATGGTGGCTCGAAACAATGACGCTGTATGCCAAGCATGTCACGGCCACTGCACAATGGGTCTTCATTGATGCCAATGCCCCACTTGATGCTGGTGAGGGTCCCTTTATTGGACCACACGGTGCAGAATCCGCCAACCGGGCCAGTGAACTTTTTGAAGAGTTCATCCAGATGCACCAACTCACGGTACCTTGCACCTTTCCGCAAATCCACGAGGGCCCAACAACCACATGGACCCACACCACTGGCAAGAGAAGCAGAAAGGACTACGTCCTCTTGTCCCAAGGGGTGGCAACCCTGGCACACAAAAGCTGGATTGACATCCACCATGACACCACATTTGCCCATGAGGACCACCTACCGGCGGTGTTGCAATGCTCTGGTTGGCTTCCCACTTCCAATGCTGCACCCCCCATTGCCTGGGATGAGCCAGCTATGCTTGACCCACAGAAAGTTGCTGACTTTCAAGCCGCCTTGCATACCTTACCACTCCCGCAGTGGCAAGTCGGAGTGGACGACCACGCAGCCTTGTATGAGCAGCAGGTCCTTGCACTAGGATGCCAGTTTTTTGCCAAAAAGCCCAGCAAGACCCGACCCATCCCATTGCATCCCCACACGCTCGATGCCATTGCCTTCAAGCGGCATGTGCTAGACTTTGGCCGTCAAGCAGGCTGCCTCCACCAGGCCGACTTCAAGGTAGAACTCCGGGCAATCGAAAAGGAGGTAGCTCGTAAAGTCAGCACTGACATCCGTGCCTTCTATGAGGACCTGCTCCAGCAGATCCAGACCTCTGGTGAGCTCTCCAATCACCGGTTGGTCTTCCGCATTCTGCATCGGCTAGGGCGTAAGAAAGGAGCTAGTGCCATGGGACCGAGGCCGTTACCCATGATCCAAAAACCAGATGGCACCACAGCAAGCTCCTACATTGACCAACAACGCACGTGGATGCAACAATTTGCACACATCGAGGCAGGCATTCCCCGCACATGGGAGCAACTTGCCCACCAACATGCAACCCAGACACCAGACATGCCGTGTCAAGACATTGAACCTGCGGCGTTTCCCGGGCAATGGCAGATCAGGATGCTTATAGCAAAGCTCAAGAGGGACAAGGTACCAGGGCCCAACCTTATCCCACCAGCACTGCTCAAAGCAGGAGGTAGCGTCGTGGCCAAACAGTTGTCCGTACTTTTCGCCAAGGCCACTGCCAACTCCCAAGAACCAATGCACTGGAAGGGAGGCGTCCTCATCCCGCTGTGGAAAGGCAAGTTGGCACCAAGCATTGCAAGTGGATATCGTAGCATCTTTATCTCGAATTATACGACCAAACTTTATCACCAGTGTTTTCGGGCCCACCTTGTACGAGCGTGGGAGCAAAGCTTGACGCATTTACAATGCGGTGGCAGGAAGGGCATAGGTGCCGACATCGCCCACCACATTGTCCAATCACACCAATCATGGTGCAAGCACAAAGCGATGCCTTCAGCTGCATTATTCTTTGACTTGAAGTCCGCATTTTACATGGTCCTGAGGCAGGCCTTCACCTGCATCCAGTCCCATGACGATGCATTCATGGCTGCGATGTACCATTTTGGCCTCACACCTGCAGAAGTAAACCGACTCCTCAGTGCCGCCAAAACAGACGAAGCAGCCAACAACATGCCCAGGCATATGCAACATATCCTTCAAGACCTGTTGCACAACACGTACTTCACAGTCCAAGGTCTTGCAGAACCCTGCCAAACAACCAGAGGCACACGCCCAGGGGACCCCGTCGCAGACGTCTTGTTCAATCTTTGCATGCACCTCATCCTGACTGACTTCCGCACACAAATGGATGAATGCAGCGATGTTCCCTGGCTAGGCACAGCCACCCCAGTTGTCGACCTTGAAGCACTGCCTGCCATGCCACCGGAGGGTTTTGTGGATGTCACGTTTGTTGACGATTGCGTAGTTCTCATCCATGGACGTACCAATGATCGAGTTGCCCACACCATGAAAGCTGTTGTTGAAGCACTTGACCAGGCTGCTGAAAAGAGAGGACTCAGCATCAACTATGAGCGTGGCAAGACAGAAGCATTGTGGACTGTCATCGGTAAAGGTGCCCGGCAGCTCAAACAGGACCTCTATGCTGATGGCCACTCACTGCAATGGGAGTCCAATGACAAGAAATACACCCTGCAGCTGTGCCACGCCTATAAGCATCTAGGTACCTGGCTCCAGTCGCACCACAAGCACAGCAAGGAGATCCTGGCCAGGGGATCTGCAGCAAAACAACAGTATGGGCAATTGGCAAGATCATTTTTCACCAAGAAATGTATCTCCCTGCCCGTCAAGAGTGCCATCTTTCAATCGTTGGTAATCTCGAAACTGCTGTACAACGTCCACACGTGGTCAACCGTCACACCCAAGCAGATGCAATCCTGGGTCAACCACTTGAAAGCTCCTGCAGGAACGCTGTTGAAGGGACTCTTGATGGCACCGACACGCTTCATGCACACTACGGAGGAAATGTTAGCCTGTGCCGGCATTTTGCCGCCAATCGATCAAGTTCATGCCAACAGGTTGAGGTTCCTTGCAAGGCTTCTGGGGGCTTGTCCACCCATCACATGGGCGCTGCTGAACAACACCGCTGGACCTCACTCTTGGACCGCACTTTGCCTGGAGTCCTGCCAATGGATGCTGTTGCACTATGACAGCAAGCTGCCTCTGGATAGCACCTCCACCTTCATGGATTGGGTTCGATTTATCCGCCTCGACCCGAACTGGAAGGGTCGGCTACGCAAGACAAGCAAGCTGGCCTTGTCCTATCACAGGGCCAGAGCAGAACAAACCGTGTGGCAAAGACACTTCGACGCCAAGCTTTTGGCTGCGGGAGCCACCCTGCCCGACAAAGCCAAACCAAGCATGCTCCCAGAAAAATGGCAGTGCGATCTGTGCTACAAGGTCTTTGCGTCTACTCGTGCCCTGGCGATGCATGCCACCCGAGAACATGGATACAAGAAGAAGGTGCGATACTTCACTGTGGGAAGTACGTGCCATGCATGCTGCCAAGACTTCCACACCAGGAAGCGCCTTTCAGTCCACTATGAAAAGCAACAAAAGTGCTATGATGTTATCCAGTCTTGTTGGCCCCCATTCCCCACTGAGATGGTCCAAAGCCTGGACGACGAAGACAAGGAACACGAAGCACTCCTGCGCAAGCAAGGCTGGTGGGCCTCGAAAGCGTTCCACCCTGTGCTCCAAACACACGGCCCCTCCTTGCCACCAGCGGGTACCGCTGCTGCCCAGGCAATGCACAACAAGATGGCCCAACGCCGCCCCAGTGATGAAATTGCCTACACCCGCCTGCAGGGCACACAGATTGAGCGCCTCCCTCAGAAGGACTCAGGCCTGTGGTGGAACCGAACAGACCTACCGGCATTCATAATGCAATCTCCCCATGGACGGGACAGCGCGGGTGGGGCCTTCGCCATGCAAGGGTTGGCCCGTGAAACAGCACTGCTGCATGTGAAAGCGCTGGTGATCGTACATTTCTTCAGCGGCTTCAGAAGGATGGGTGATATCCACCATATCATCAATCATTGCACAATGCAAACTGGGGCCCATGTGTTCACGCTCTCCGTGGATCTCTGCATGCAAAGGATCAAGGGTGACCTCGCCACGCCTCAAGCATCCCGTTGGTGGAAAGAGCGGATCTTGAGCGGACAAGTGGTGGCAGCTGGTGGCGGCCCACCTTGTGAAACATTCACAGTCGCCAGACAATACGACGGTGGACCCCGGCCACTACGCAGCGCAGATCACCCGCTGGGCATCCCGGGCCTGACCCTACGCGAGTGGAACCAGCTCCGCATCAGTGATCGCCTACTGAGGTTCCTCCTGGATGTATTGGTGGCACTAGCCATGATGGGCCTGAGCGGATTCCTCGAGCATCCTCAATTCCCGACTTGGTGCACACGTGGCTGCCAGTATTTGGGCAACCGAAGCTCTGATCCAGCTAAAAAACCTGGGCTGCTTTTCAGTTGTGAGCTTCGACCAATGCACGGTGGGTGCGTTGGGGAAAAAACCCACAACACTCCTCCTACTCCGCTTGCCCCGGGTGAGGGACCTACTCCTAGGACGAGGATGCTATGGGCGTTGCCATCACCCACCTGGCTCGCATGTGGCCTTGATTGGCCGGGAGACCGACGGCACCTTTCACACCGCAAAAGCCAAGGTATATCCTTATGGCCTCAACAAGATACTCGGGGAAGCTCTGTTCAAGGCTGCAATGCAGTGGTCCGACCTGGACGTGGTGGACAACCTACCAGAAGACTTTCTCCCGTATCTCGAACAGAGTTGCCATGATGCTGGAGTTGTACAGCCGGATTACCATGGCGGCAGCTGACAATCGGTCGGCCAACGCATGCATCGAGACCAAGCACCAATACGGTGCAGCAGAGCAAATGGAAAAAAGATGGGGTTGAAACCACCAACCAGTATTGTTCTATGTTGTTCCTTACTTTTTTTGGATCCCCTTGAGCAAGTCCAAGTAGACTGACAGTATGTTTTGGACAACCACCGTGTCTAATAGCATCTAATAGCTATAAACGAAATCATAAAACTAGATTTAACCATAAGTATCATAACACTAGCCATAAATTAGATTTAACTATATATATATATATAATGCCATACCAACCATGAATGAATAGCTAAAAATAAATAGGCGATTCCAACAACCCAAAGATGACCTGCCTCAATCGTTGCTGGAGTTGTGTTCACCAACTTTGTCATCGGGGCTCACCTTGTAGTTTGTTGCTGTCAGCAAAATGGGTGTGTTTGAAAATATGGTGCCCCTTAATCCACCGCCCAATCATCATTGTCCGTATTAAAATGGCCACGTGGTGGGATATCTTATGTTATTTATGTATCCCATTAATATCCCTACTATTGTTGGTTTATATATCACCATTTTACCATTGTCTTATCCATATAGCTGTGGTTGGTGTACCTCATTTTCAGACCCAAAATACTTTGGATGGTAAATCTCCTGAAAGGATATTTCTTTATGGGACAGTGATCTTGAGGGTTTAATGAAACACGGCTACTCATGAACATTATTGCAGTTGCTGAAATTCCTTACTCATGTGAGTTTTGGTTCAAAATTTCGAACATTTTCAGCAACAAAAACTATTGCTGACATCGCTTGTGTCCCATCTGTTCCTCATGGCCGTCCAATTCCCCAAGACGAAGGACTTTGCAGTGTCATTCCTGCGTGGCTCCGAGACCCCTCTCAATGATGTGCTCGATATGTTGCACATTCACCACGCATCGCCTCCGAACGATTGGATCTTTCCCATTGCTCTTCCTGCAGACCAAGCAGTGATTCCACCCGTGGAACAGTTGGCGACCAAGCTTATTCCGTTCGACAAGGAGCTCAGTTCCGATCTCCGTTTTGTGTTGTTCCTGCACCCTGGCGCCCATGAGCAAATACTTCACATCTTTTCCTATACGACGGTGCCACTCAGACTTTGCCCATCCCGCTGTTGGCATCAGACCTGCAACAGCATGCTGATCACTTTATCACCCATGCCCTGCACTTCATTGCTGTGGAGGCATCGGAGAACGTGAACCATAAGGACAAAATCATGCACCACTTGGTAACTAATTGTAACTAGGAAACACGGTAGATGTTAGTATTAATCGGATTATTAGGGAATATTTCCCATCTACAGTCATGGCCCAAAATACCAGTCATAAGTACTGAAATAACCCCATAAAAGTGGCTTATGTACAACCCCATAGAAATAGAGAAAGTAACAAAATCAGGGGCCCACAGCGTTACGCTCTCTAGAAATAACAATTTACAACGAATGACCATGGCCATAACTCTACCAAGTGGTGCAGGATTTTTACGCGACGCAGGATAGCACGGTGCAGAAGATTGCCACGGAGCACCTGCCGGTAGCGCGGCATTTGTCCGGCAGCCCAGCGAAGCTAAGTTTTTTCACCGAGTCAGAGATTTTTCAATGATCATACGTGGGTTCCATAAATGTTGGTATCCCCAAATGGATGGTTTATGATTTTTATAATGGACAACCTTATTAAAAAAGATGATTTAGGGGTATCCCCATTTTAGGAAACCCCCATATATCATAATATTGAGCTACTGGGTAAATTTTAACGACCTCACTGCGACCTCACTGGAATAATGGTTAATAAGGGGAATTATCCCAATATGGTCTTATTTCAAGTTAGTGAATTATTATTATTATTTGCTCAGATGGCTCAGATATATGTAATATTGAGCTATAACTAAGCAATACTCAGATATATGTAATATTGAGCTATAACCAAGGAATAATAACAATGCTCATATATCATATATCATGATACTCGAACGAAAGATACTGTGGATGGTTGCGAAATCCTGCAGCACCAAAAGGATGGTTGAAACCCTATAAACAATGGGATGTTCACCACCTATCAACTGGTGCAAGATTGCGCAACCATCCACTAACAATGATCCAGCTAACAAAAATGAGCAACATTATTTTATTATTTGAATATATCGTATTTGTATCATATTGAGTGAGTACCAGATATTTTCAATGAGTAACACGTAATACTACCTTCCATTAAAGTCCGATGACGACTGTCTTGTACCTGAATAGATTAGTGGAATCAGAAGTCATCATGATTCTATGTATATACAAAGATGCAATGTTTCTATCGAATTTGGTCTTATCAAATACCCGAGGGTTTCTCTCTGTTTCTCCTTTGCGCGAAAAATCCCGCCACTGGACACGGGTCCTGTTGTTCATCCCCATGAAACTGACGGAACGATATGGGATTCCTGTTACTTGACTACTTGAGTCATTGAAAATAGTCATTGATTGATACATAGATAGGTAGACAGAAAGATAGATAGACAGATAGACAGAAAGAAACAGGAAGATAGACGGATAGATGGACAGAAAGATAGGTCAATATATATATATATACATAAACTTATATTATACTACTTTGATTGAAAATATACTACTTAATTGATTGAGGATTGCTTTTTCTCCAAAACAAGAAAACATATGTATTTACCAACCAGCAAAATCTGATGGGAAAACGGTGACAAGGTGGGTGGAAGAATTCCTGCACCATCTTGGATGGTTGAAAGCTTGTAAAATGAGATGTTTACCACCTATCAACTGGTGCAGGATTTCGCAACCATCCACAGTGTGTTCATTATATTCAGTTAAATCAGATTAAGTTCCATTAAAAAACCACTAAATCACCATTAAATCACAATTAAGTTCAATAAAGTTGCGATGCACGGCGGGCCTTGAAAATTCTGTCAGGATTACGGCAGTTCTGGGCACCTTCCTCGTGATCACCGTGTTCCTTGGGCGATCAACAGAAATCTTTGGTAGTTTCATGATGATTACTGGGGATTTTTTCACGATTGGGATTAAATCCATCATAAAAACTACTAAGGATTAAATGGTAACCAAGGATTAACGATTAAAACACTTCCATGATTCAAATGATTACTGGGAATTTATTGGGAATTACTAGGGATTCATGGAGATTTATGATGACTCATGCGGATTTACTGTATGTGGAGTTAGTTGAGTTTGGATTTAAAACATGATTTCACCAGCAACAATACGGAGATCACCCTCGGATTGTTCAACATAGCTCAGTTTAAATAACGAGAGGGTATTTGAAAGTATCTAGAGATATGGAATAAGGGTTTGTCTGAAAACAGTGTCTGAAAACATGGAATATAGCCCAAGGATGCTGCCCCCCAGTTATAAGTTGGTTTATAAACCTCATTGACTATAATTATATCTACCATAAACCATAATCCATAGTTAAGCCACTTATAAGGCAACTTAGCTATCTTGGGGGCCTCATCCTGCAACTCAAGATGATTTTCGGGCGCGTCGAAAACGAGAATGCCCATAAAGCGCATTTTGCATTGGACAATTACGACGATTGAACATCAAAGTCTGGATTTAGCAAGCAAGATGTCGATATCATCCTGCCAAAGGTAGAATTATTTAATCGGTACATGCTGCTTGGTTGATGGTTGTTGGTTGAAAGCAGTGAAGTTCTGAAGATGGTTCATTGGGACAAAAACCTAATAGACCGTGATTTAATACTGGTTTAGTTTCTTGGGCGCCCAAATGTGGGGCTATTTACTGTTGGGGGAAAGGGGCTACAATCCAAAAAGGGGAATCTTTGGCAGCCATAGACGTTCCTAAGTCTCACTAGTTCATTGGTTAAAATTAAGGCGCCTTGCCGTAATGACTCCCATGTTTCACAAGAAATGTATATATATATAATACATGTTAATATATAATATGTATATACATGGTCATCCATAGAATATGACAATTTCAACATGTTGTCACTAAAATGCGAATATCTTGGAACAGGTCATATTCGATCTACACCAGAACGATTCTATACAATATGGGTCAATGATGTACAAATAATAATAATGATATGTTTGAATGTGCGGCAGTTTGCCTCGATGTTGAGTGTCTTGTTTGCAGATGCCATGGTCAAGCTAGTTTGATTGTATACCAGTCCTTAGGGAATCGTCATGAAGCCATTAGTATGTGGATAGAGATTTATATACCCATGATGTTTGGATTCTTATGGACTGGACGACCAGAAACCATGGTTACCATGGGCCATGGCACATGTGATTCTCTGAGATCGATTTGCAGGAAAAATGCATTTGTTGTTGCCATTGTTTACCATATACCTGTAAATGGTTGTTGCAACCATGGTAGTTGTATAAAATCTTATTGTTTCATATTGTTACGTAATAGTTGAAAAAACTACAATTGTTTACCTTGGTGCATTTTCAGAAACACATATCACAGATAACAGATAGTTGATTGATGCGCACAATGCGCAGCAACACACCAAGCAAGGCACAACACAGTACAGTTCCTTAGACCCAAACACAACACATCACAAACAACAGACACTGGCTGTCATTGTCATTGCGAACAAACATGTACATATGAATCATTACTATAAAATCTTACTTTGAACTGTACTTGATTATTTCTATATACTTGTGAACTTAAGATATGTTTATTGTGTATCCTGTATTATTTTTATGTATTGATCATTGGTTAATGATTCATCCTCATTCCCCTCATCCTCCTCATCCTCATCACCATCCCCACCCTCATCCTCAACATCATCCTCATTCTTCTTATCTTCATCCTCCTCCTCCCCCTCCTCCGCCTGATCCTTATCATCCTCATCTCCATCCTCATGCTTCTCATCCTATCCTCATCCTTGTCCCCATCCTCATCCCCATCCTTGCCCTCAACATCATCCTCCCCCTCATCTTCATCTTCATCTTCATCCTCATCGTCATCT